AGAACTGCCGAATCCGAACGTGAAAGGACAGGAGGAACCGAACGATCTTACATTTACAGTCAAAGGCCGAACGGTTTTACACTCAAAACAATCTCCTAGTCATTGGCCGAACGGTCTTACAGTTACATTGAAAGGCCAAACGGTCTTACAGTCCAAATAATCTCTCAGTAATTGGCCGAACGGGCTTACAATTAGAATGAAGGCTAAGGAGGGAAAGGTGGATGGAAGAATCAATGGCGGGAGAGAAGGATGGATTTTGTGAAGAGGTGGACCAGCAAACAAAAGAAGGGCCTTGTCGTTCGTGAGGCACCTGCAGAGGGGAGAGAACTTTTTGAAGCTTTGAAAGACATCGAAGACCATTTCTTCAGGGATTATAATTCTGGAAAAGATGTGACCAGAATGCTGGAAGCTAATAAAATCCAAGAAGAATGGAAGTCATTGGAGGAGGAATTGCCACCACCCAAACCTCCAGACCTGAATTGGAGGGCAGTTGCCAGAGGGTTCCATTCATATGAGTACACGATGATGAAGAGGAGCCATGAGATCAAGCCTCCCGTTTCCAACCTTGAGGACAAGGTTGTTCTGCAGCGGGGTGTAATGTTAGGATATGGGGTGGCAGGGTATAATGGGTAATGGGTTTAGGTTAGAAGTAAAGAGCGGGAAAGTTTGTTAGGCTGTTAGGGGGAGAGAGAGAGTATAAATAAGCCTTTTGGTAATTCTGTGGAAGGAGTCATTTTTCTGAGTATAGACAGGTCTTGAACCTTGTGAGGGGGATTAGGCCTCCACTAGGGCTAAGAGGGGGATTAGGCCTCCACTAGGGCTAAGAGGGGGATTAGGCCTCCATTAGCGCTATCTGTGTACTTTCTTTGAATATCAATACAGATACCCATTCTTTTTACAGTGTTGATTCTTGTTTGTGTGTGTGATTGGGTTGTCTTAGATAGGTTTCTAACTCTAGAACCTAACATATTTTCAGTGATAACAGATGTTAAAGCTTATCATTAAGCATTGCAATTATTATTTTACGAGAAAAAGTAACTAACATCATTATTACTGACAGGCACGTTAACATTTTTTGCTAAATATTGGATAATGTATAAGCAATGGACCAGAATAACTTCATTTTTGAAAACTGGAGCACTAAACGTGCAATTAAATAATGAGATCAAAGTTGATGAAACTATGGAAACCAAAAATCAATTTCAGCCAAGAATAAACAACACAGTAAGAAATTATTTTTAAATATGATCAAATAAATATAATCCACACAGAATCGGAAAGATCAATTCACAAGATCTGTACCACACACATAGTGCACGAAGATTGAGAGGAAAAGCAACACATTCTAATGTCTCAATTCCACAATATAAAGGTCCTAACCACCAACTACTATCATGCCAATATGTTTATTTTCAATCATCTCATGTTATTTCTAGTTTTTCCAAATAAAATAAACCAGTTTGTAAAATTTGAAAATGACAAATGAAAAGGCAAGAGCAGATTATTTTAAAAGTGCACTTCATATATTCATGGCAAGAGTCACGACTCAATTTTAACTAATCCTTGTAATGTAGATGTGAACACACAACAGACTGAGTAATCAATGCCAGGTAGCAGAATATGCTAAGGGCCAAACTATGCCGTATAAACAAGCCACTTGATCCTAGCAATAGCAAGCCTCCCTTCACAAATTGAATATGGCAGCTAGCAAAACCCCTCATGTCATTCTGCCATGATGGACATGGCACTTCCATTTAACAACATTCACTTCAAATAGATGGAGAGTCAAAAGTGTAGGTAGCAAAAAGGGCGTCATTTATTGCCAATATACCTGAAGACATGTTTCTTTAATCCCATTACGACCTTCCAGTATTCCAGCTTCTTTAATAGGTTCCTGGATTTTTTTTATCAAAAAAGTTAAAACAGAGAATGTTAATCTGTCAGAATAACGAGATGCCAAGAAAACAATTATATAAAAAAGGTATAAAATTTACCAGGTTTCTCACTGGAGGTAGACCAACCACAAGGTCAACATCACTTGTTGGAAGGGACATACCAGTTGCATTGGAACCAAATATGTTAGTGCGGGATCTAGGCCATAGAACCTGCAGAAATCGGGTCACTCTCTTGACAGCCCAATTAATGTAAGGCCTCCTGGCCATATTTTCTGCAGCAACCTGGATTCCGTTATAAAAATTATAAGCAACGTGATTAGCTTCTTTTGTCTTCTGATGATGATATCAATAAATAAAAGGTTTCTATAGATTCAATAGCAATTCTATTTCCCATGATTTTAACAAAGGACTGGAATGCAAATAAAAAGCTGATAAAAAAAAAACCAAGGATAAAGATACTAAAACAAGGTATGTGAAATTCAAAATATGGACCATGCAGGAGGAAAAAGGCTATCATTGACAGAATGTTATCCGCTAGCTAGTGTGAGAGAATTGAGAAAGTATGTTTAACAACATTATCAACAAATAAACCCAGTACCTGTTTACAGAAAGAGTCAATCTCATCATGGAGAATGCCATGCATCACAGATAAAGATGCACTCTGTGCAGAACAGCTTTGTAACTCGGGAGGTGGCAAGGGAAAGGTGACATCCGGCTGCATAATTGAAAACCCACATCAACACCAACATATACACACTAAGTAAGACTTATGTAAGGATCTTTCTTACATGTTCCTGGTCACGTGCTATCTGTGACAATGCAATCAGGCGGTCCTGCAGCAAGGCAGCAGGTAAAGGCTGAATCAAAGGTCGAACTGCAAGATTATTATTTCTCCAAGGCCACACAACTTCAGCACCATCCATTCTTAAACATGCTTCCTCCAAATTACTCCCATCATGATACCAGCCTCTCATCCCCCAGTGCCTTGGGCTGGAACTACCAGATCTAACCGTTGGAAAACCCCTATGTTTCCTGGAGTCACTCACAGGAGAAGGAGGGGGTGGACGTGGTGCACGTGGTACACAAAGCACTACAGGCGATGGTGGCCGCTTTATGCGAGGCTGCTCCCGCCTGGTGGGAGGAACACAGGGACTTTTATGATCAAACCTTTCCCTTGACAAGTTAGGAATAATTATTGGCCGTAGAATGGGATATGGATGTGAATCACCTGTCTTTCCATCAACTTCTCCAGGTAAACCACTACCCAAAGAACCAGAATTATCTTCATCCACTGCTGGGTCAGTAACTGAAGAAGAATGCAATATCTTTCCAGGTACTTCATTACCTGACATCATGTAACCAACAGTCTGGGTCCCAGTCCCTACAGGATCAAAAGGAGAACAAAATGCAGCAGCAGTGGGTGATGTTAAACCATTCGTACTATACGAAGATGTGCAAGCAACCATATCATCCACAGTCCTATTCATGTCAGCTTCACGCAAAGCCCATAAACTGTCATCAGAGCTAAGTGAGGGAGGCCTGGAGAAACCTTTTCCCGGATAATCAGAAGGATTCCAGTACATTATGCCTCCACCAAAATATTGATTATAATCTATACCAGAAACAGCATGAACCTCATACTCTTCCTCAGATAAACAGTGATTGTCAAATTCATCTGCTAGCTCCATTGTGTTTGTTAGGTCAGGTAAATCCCATGCATCCACAGAATATTTTCTTTCTTCATCAGGAGCAGTTGCATCGACCTGAATGCTGTGAACAGCCAATCCTTTTGAAAAGGTGCATTGCTTCCTAGATATAAAACCAGTGTCATAATTATAGTTTGGTGATGGGGTCCTGCCTCCTCGGTAGACTGGTGGCCAGTCAAAACTCATAGGAACAGGACGAGAAAGGATTGGGTTGCATCCACCTTCAATAGAAGGATTTCTTGCCTGCTGTAATGTGGGAACAAATGGATGGCAGAAGTGATTGTGCCAATGCCGCCCAACATCAAGATGTAATCTATCCGTGGCAGGAGGGAGGTGTGAGTTAAAAGATGGAAAATAAATAGAAGGTACCCCAGGCCACTCATATGGACTGCATTTTGAGAAAGCTGAATTTCTACTCTCAAATAGACATCTATCATGCTCATTCAACCGCCCAAATTCTTTTACATTAACCTCTCTAATTGTTTTGTCAGGATCAGTAGACTTTATATCAGCTTTGGCAACACGCAATGAGTTCAGATGACTGGTATCTTCCTTGCTGAAGAAGCTACCTTGTTTCAATGCAGGTACAGAAGGAGTTACAGTAGCATTACAATCTAAATCACCTGTAAAAGTATCTAATCCAGAACATACAGTTTTCCTTTCATCTGATAATAAACAACATTGAGGCCCTAAACTATTCCCAGATTCAGCAAGATCTTCTGTCTCTCCTTCAACTTTTCCAGTAGAACTGTTCTCCTTAGTAAGCCCACTAAGATTACTACAAAGGCTTGAATTTGAAGTAAGGATGTCATTACCAATTGAATTGTCATTTTTGACATTCTGAATGGTAGAACTATTCAAAAATCTATCACATATTGCCACCTCACCTTCAGAAACAACAGTGGTAGAGGCAGCATGCATAATTGATTTATGAGAATTTCCACCTGCACTATCAATGACGATGTTTTTACTTTTATTTTTCTCTTTTCTACTTCTTTTTGAAGTGGTCCGTACTTTTACTGTGCCAACATCCAATCCTTCAGTATGATCCTGATGATAAGTGCCTTGTTAAAAATTATTTATATCTATTAGAAGAAATATAAGTTAGATTAAAGAAAAAAGATTTGCAACCATTTTTACAGTTGATGATGAGCTGTCCATGGAAATCTCCTTCCCCATACAAACAGCAGGAAGTTCCCTGGATCCCACTAAATCAGTCTTCTTTTTATTATCCCTTTTACAATCAGTGTCCTGAAATATCAAATGGAACAAAACAGAATTGCAAATGGTAGCATTAATTTGATAAAACTATTTGAGTCACCTCTTTAAATAAATATTAGTACCTTGAGTGGATTTCCATGTGAAATACCATCTGTGCATGTCTTTGAGATAGGATTTTGCCTTTTAGTATTGCGATTTCGTCCCTTCTTTTTCCGGTTAGAAAAACTAAGCTTTTCTTTAGGTTTACCTGGTGAAGACAGTTCAAGTGTCTCTCCTAATAGTTCAAGTTTTGTGCAGTCAAGTGAAATAACCATAAAAAATCCTCGCATTTTTCTTAATATACAATCAGATATCGTACAGACAGAACCCAACGAACTAAAGAAAAGCTTTCCTATGTCATATTCACTATTAAGATTTGAGGCTACCATCATATTAACATCATGAAGTACTAATAAAGAATTGAAGGCTCTGGCTAAAGCAGCTGGTTTTTTACAAAAAGTGACTGGTGAAATAACTGTTCCAAATTCCATATCGGCAGGAAGAGCTGAGATGATCCGTTGAACTGACATAGGACGATTGTGTTGCATTAATTTATCCACTCCCGCACTGTATAGCCAAATCTCATCATCAGAGGCACTACTTGACACTTCCAAAACATCACGAGTCTGAAAACTTGTGAAAAATAAGTCAGCCTAAACCTTAGAGAAGGCCAGAAAATATATTAGTATAAACCATAACATGTAAGAATATACTATAACTTATTATAAGCCCTAGTATTGAACTGAGAAGTCAACAAAAAGTAGAAAAGTATCCATCACATCCAAGATTAGATATTGCAAAGGAGATTTAATGTGTTGACAATATGAAAGTATTTAGCAACATTAAAATTTGGTTCAACCAAGTTTTATACAATTTGTTACACAATGTTGTGAAAACTGGTACGGTTATTGACCAAGTCAATGCATTCGGCCAATGGGTCAATAGTCGAACCATAGAATTACCGATTGACCTGGTCAACATTAAAAAATACAAAGATATTATAAATGTCTAACATAATTTACAAATCTAACTAAGGTTAAAACTTTTACATAATGAAGTACTAATATATGAAAAAAATAATAATGTACGAGACAATGCAATATCCAAAATAAAATTTATAAAAACAACAAAAATCCATATAGAAAAACCGATACCACACCTCCATAAACAAATTTAAAAGAGAAATATTATATATTTAAAAAATTAAAAACTAGAAATTTTGGATTGGGCCAACCAGGTTATCAATTGACCCTGTCAGTCAAACCGGGCCGATTGAAATTTCGATGCAAACATTAACTCGACCTTACCCACCAAGTCCTGACCGGGTTAGTCTAGTTTTAACAACTTTTACACTATTTAAAGATTCATTTAAAAATCTCAGAATATCCACAACCATTTAAAAAATAGAAAGAGAGAGAAATGGGAGTTTCTTGGTCTTCTACATCATTTTATTCTTCTCTTTATTACACATACTAATGTAATTCCTATATTTCTATTACAGTCAATATAATTTTCGATAAAACAAAAATTCCTAATTATCAAGTGCTATATAAAACTTTAAAAGAAAAATCTAAGTATTCCTTGAGAAATTAATATATCATTTTGAATCAATCCATGATACTATCCATCAATAGACAGTAAATATTTAATCATTATAGGTCATTACAGCAAATTCAACGTGCCACAATAAACATCTCCAGCTAAATTATGAAATAAGTCCAATTTCAAAAATAAAGGAACAGGTGATTTTTATGAGAGCCTCTTCTTTTCCTTCAGCCCCCTACCGCCCTAAGAAGTCAGCAATCTCTCTCCACCCAAAAACGAAAGACTAATAGTAGTCTTACTTAGCCAAAAATGACTTTAAAAGAATGTACTAATAATTAACATCATCATCCCACCAATATATGTTTCCCATTATCAATTTTTATTAACTCTCCCACAAATTTTACAACTTAGGTAGTATCTAGTCCAGTTTTTTCGAGTTTGCTTAAAAGAAAAAGTTCTGTCGAACAAATATGGAGAAAACGGTAAAAAAATTAAAATGTTAATTTTTATAAAACATAAACATGAAAAAGAAAAGATTTAAAAAAGAAACAAAACTAACTGATATAACTTAAAAAAAAGTTACGTATCCTAAGTTCTCTCTTCTTCTCATTCTCAATTAACCAATGTATAACCTGGAAACGAAAACTTTTAAGTTCTTGTTTTTATACTTGACTTTTAAACTGGCAACACATTACCTAACAAAACCGTAAATTGTTTTTTTCAAAATGGAATTAAGTTAACCGATTGTCACTAACTATGTAATTCATACATCGCACTAAAAGTTACACTATGCAATTCACACATCATACTAAAAGTTCAATAAGTTTACCAAGGGTTTTGCTGCTTTCATAATGAAGGTGGTGAAGATCTTCCTCCTGGTCCCAGCATCCAAGTTCGCCCACCAATCAACGCACCCCTTCTTCCTCCAAAATACATTCACACCAACACCCCCAGCACTCATCTTCTCCTTCAACTTCACACCTCTCTTCTTCCCTCCACAGCAATTCAACCAAGCCAATCTCATCGAAACCTCCATCCTATTCGCAATAAACGCTTCAATACCATAATACCCCTTTGCTTTGAGCCAATGCAGCTCGACCCAATCCTCTCCAAGCTCGGCCTCCTCCCCTCGGAGGAACCCACCACCGGAGATCCGGTCCATGGCCTCCACAAACTGGTCAACATTCCCAACAAACCCCTCGGCAAGGGTCAGCGCGTCTAACCGCCTCGCCGAGGGCGGCAATGAATTGGCAGCCTCCTCGCCCTCACGCGACTCGAACAACCGTGCGGACTCGAATACCGCCCGCCCTGCTGTTTCGGATTCAGCTACGCGCGCAATAAGGCCGCGGGACTTTTTGAAGCAGAGGGTGGGGAGGTTGTTGGGCGAGGGGAGGTCGGGGAGGAGAATGAAGGATCCGTGGCCGTGAGATCGGAGTTTGGCCAGCATCTGGAGGAGGATCTGGACGAAATTCCCGTCGACGACGGTTAGGTAGGCCTGGCGTTGGTGAATTGAAAGAGAAGAGAACCATTTGAGAATGGAGGATCGAGGGTTAGGATTAGGGTTAGGGTTGGGGTTTGGGGATTGGGAGTGGTAGAGGGAGATGTGCGAGGTGAGCGAGTCGATGAGTTGGTGGTGAGCCATTGGAACGAGTTTGCTTTCGTTTGTTTTTGGTGTTTGCTTAAGTTGCAGGGATGATCATGGTCTCTAGATGAAGATTTCAACTTTGGTATGCAGTCCAATTTTGTGCATATCTCAGTTTATTATATTTTTTTACAGTCCATTTTTTCTCTCTAAACTGTAGAAATTGTTTGGACAGAGTTGAAAAAGAGACAGCGAAATTGAAACCAGAAATAAATATATTTTAAATAGAATCAATTGAGATATAAACAGGATATTTTATTTTATTTTCATAAAATACGAAAATAAAATTGATACATAATTTAATTTATAACTAAATATAACTTTTTAAATAGTTTAAAAATAAAAACACATATTTAACCTTATTTTAACATACAACAATCCAAATTATAGATTAAGAAAGAAATAGCTGTGTTTTTAGGATGTGTTTTAACTTATAATATTAATGATCTCTTAAAAAAATTATTTAATTTATTGCAAGGATAAGTATATATATAATTATCCTAAATAAACTATAATTACACAATTCACATTAAATCATAATATAACTTTATTATATCAATTTAGTTTAGACAATTTTAATGATATTAATTAAGTTGTAATTAGATATTAATTATTGAACTTATCTTTTAGAGCTTAATAGGACTGATTTGGAGAGAATGAATGAATTGATTTAAAGAGATTTGAGAATGAATTTATTGTCTTTTTTTTAAGAAATTTGGAAATGAGTCAAAATAAATTTGACCACAAATAAAAAAAATTATTTAATGGATAAAAATTAGAGATTATTAAAATACCTATAATAATAAAAATAATATAAAATTATAATTATTAATATTATATATAATTGTAACAATTATTATAAAAGAAAAAAATAAAAATTAGTTTTCAACATGAAAAATTATAATAATTATTATTATTAGTTTTAGTTGTGATAGTATTGTAAAATATATATTTTTCCCATAGGAGATAGGATGTTGGATTCATATCTCAAATCACTGCATTCATTCATGTTCAAATCCATCAAGCGAACACTATCACTATTCGCAAATCCATATGTTGAAATAGTAAATACCTTCAACCAAACAAAACATTAATATTAGACATAAATAAACATATAAAACTATAGTTTCAAAAATAAATATATAATACAGAACACTCTCTACCAATATATACATTGTACTTATTTCTCTGTAAAAAAAAAAAAACATATTCTTACAATTTATTCAACATATATCAATTAGAGTCAATGAAGACTTGATTTAGTGACTAGATTCACACCCGAAATTTCAATTGATCTAGTTTGACTGACAAGATCAATTTATAATCTGGTTTGTCCGATCTAAAACTTTTAATTTTTAATTTTTTTAAATAGGTAATATTTGTCTTTTAAATTTGTTTATGGTATTCAGTTTTT